CACCACCATCAACTGAAACAGGGTTGTATAGAAGTCATCTGTTGTCAAAGGGGTATATACTTTAGCGGGAGGACAGGAAACCTGTATTGCTAGCTGAAGCAAGACAGCAAAGGTTGGCTAGGATGGTGCTAGTCTGTTTCAGATAGAAACTGGTAACAGCAGGGAGCAGCAGCATTAGTGAAGAGAAGCTTTTGTCATTTAGTTCTGAATTTACTCTAAAACCCCCTCAACACTTCCATTTTTAACAGTTGTATATTATCTCAATTGCTTTTCAGGTTCATGAAGAGGAATAAGTACAGTTCAAGCTGACAGATATGAGAAGATGCTTGATATAATCAGGCACAACTGAAAGCAGATATAGAAAAAAAATAAGCACTTACAGAAATAAACATCAAGTGAAAATCCAAAGAGACTGTATAGTGTATTCCATTCATTTTTTTTTGTGTTTCTATTTTGCCAAGCCTCAGGGATCAATAAAAGATTAGATCTTGCCAACATCCCACTTCATTATGTTGGAACAAATCCTAATTGGCAGATCTCTGACAAAATCAAAACCAAGGGCAAATCCAGTCACGCTTCGCAGCCTCCTGTGTTCGATGTGCAGATTGTTAAAGCAGCACAGATTAAACCCGTGCAGGGGGACAACCCTTAAAGCTGGGATAATGCAGCTTCCATCTGTCCTGCCAGTCGGAGTCTGTATGAGTTTTGTAGGAGAGCAGGAAGCAAACTTTTTCATAGGAACCGTCCATTTAGAAGCTTCCACTACTACCAGCCAAAGGACATTTGTTCACCAGCTGCAGGAGAGACATAGGAGATGCTGTGGACAGACATGTCCCATCAGGACAGCCTGTGGCTCAGAAATATGGTGTTCTCTCAGATCTTTTCCACTTTTAAATAGGGAAGTTGTCTTTGCTTGAAATCAAAATACTAAATGAAATGTAAAACTGTAAGATACTGAGAAAAACCCAAACCCTCAAACCGAAGCTTCTGCTGTGGAAACTTTTTCATTGTCCCTTTAGGATATCGAAGTTCCAGTTTTTCATGCCGACTCCTCACAGACAAGTGTCAACTGACTTACATACTTTTTTTTTTCTATCAGTTCAGTTGTTTTTTACTGTTGCTCAGATAATTACATTTCCATGTGGCTCTTAGTGTAATTGAATAGGGAAGGTGAAGGAACTCTTTATTCTTCTCAGCAGCAATCTCAGTAGCATCTGTGTGTGCAGAGAAGGACTTTTTCCAGTATGTCAAGGTGCTCATATGACTCCTCTTCTTCTGGATTTCTAATCAAAACCAAAATGTTTGTAAGAACTATTAATGTGTAAAATTAATCGTACAGTGGGAACAGAACAAGACACACTCACTATAAAGATAAGTCAGTATTTTCCATTTTAACGTTAGTTAAGTAAAATAAACATCCACACAACAGTGTAGAAACGTTCCTGTTTCTTCCATCTAGTTCTCCATCAATGTAACCAGAGCTGAGTTAACCTGTAAGCTGTTCCACTTCCTCTCATTATTCTATGTTAAAGGTCTCAAGAGGTCCCAAGATAAATGAATCTTGCTTAAATTCTTTAATTTAAACAGCTGCATCTCAAAAGTATATTATCAGCTCTAAAGCATGTTAGCCTTAAAATTGACTAATAAGAAGCATGCAAGTTAAACTCTAAGTGAGAGAAAAATGAAAAAAAAGCTGAGGCTCAATAATTTTAAAGTTGTCTTTCTTGGTGTGTTCATGTTGAATCTTGTGGTAACCTTCATAAAACAAATTCAGGGTGTGACAAAATCTTAAGGCCCAGGGAGTTGGAAGGTATATCTCTCCATGGATAGGGCTGTACTGTCAGACACAGAAACTTGTAGCCTAAGGACTAAGAGCTAAAGTTCTGTTTTTAAGGATACTCACCGCAAGTGCAGAGGAAGGAGACAGAATACTCTAAGACAGAGCCAGCCTATTACAAATGCACAAGAATAAAATGCATCTACTTGAAGATGCTGTACTCTAGTAAACAAGAGAGATGTGTAGAGAGATGAGATCACAGACTATACAGTTCTAACAGTCTCCTAAGCAAAGCGAGGAGTATAACTTTTCACACTGAAGTTTTGGTAAGCTTTGATGTTGGAGATAATGGAAACAGTAATTTGAGCCCTAATGAAGACTAGATATGAGCACTGTTAGAGGGACTTCGTGTTTTGGTTTGGGGTTTTTTTGGTCTTAAACACAAGTGAGAGAAAATCAACCAGTTTGATTGATTTTAAAGCAAGTTATCAGAAAATATTTTGGATGCATAATCAACTTTTTCATCTTTTTATAGAGCACAGGAGAGCATCTGGTCAAGGGAAGGTCATGTTAACATTTTTACAGCCAAAATACTATTGCATAGAAATACCAAAGAGGGCCTTCTGGACACAGAAAATACCAAGAATGAGGACAATTTATTTATGCTGAGACTCATCATCCTACATTTTTAGTCTTTTTTGTACACTTTAATCCATGAAAAGTCAAAATTTTTGTTTTGGTGAAGCATTCAAGGTCTGGATTTAAGTTTAATAGTTTAATAGTACCTTAAGTTTAATAGTACCTTTAAAAATAAATCCCCCAATATTGTACATACCTTGAAACAGACCCAGAAACAGACTCCTGCTACCAGCAGCACTGCAGCGGTCACTCCCAGCACAATTTTCCAAGCATTATCTGATTTTTCTTTAAAAATACAAATTCCAAGAAGTTTAACAGAAGTGCTTTATATCACGAATAATGTTTGGTATTGTTCAATAGGTATACCACAGCTATGATTTTTCTATTATTTAAAATCTAAAAGCTATACTTTAGGGAGAATGTCTCAGTTTCTTTTTAATGTTACTAATACAACAATGCTCAAGTTACCTGACCCATACTATAAGACTTTAAAGTGATACTTCAAAGACTTAAGTGCAAATAGCTGAAAGCAGATTATTTTTACTTAATTGTGCTGATACAAAATTCCATGTGTGCTCATGTAATATGATTTGACAACTTCTTAACACAAGTCCCATTTAAAAACAATCAACTGCCCAGTATGGTAAACACTGCCTCCAGGTACAGAGCTTGGTGCCATTAATGGTACTACTGATTTCCAGTAGAACAACTCACTAAGCCTTATCCTGCCTGGACTACAGATTTCATTATTGTATTGCAAAATCTTTGCAACTTTCATCTAAAATGTTTCCCAGCTTCACGATGCAACCATGCATTCCAGGTGGGCACAAGAAGCAGCAGATCCTCAGATGGGTGGTAACAACAGATTCCACAGGAGATAAGAGCCCACCTAGCAGAAACCTCTCCACCTCATGAAGTGTCTCATTACTCCAGCCAAGTTCAACAACGTGAGAACACTCAGACCTGGAGGCCTCATTCCTTTAAATACGGTTCTTCTACTTCAGGCTTCCTTTCCACTGCTGTGTCTCATCCAAAGAATTTGAAAAATTCTACACTTCTCTGGAAGTTCCCTCAGGATGTCTGTCAAACAGTTAAAAAATGAGAACTGCAAAACCAGAGCGCTTAATCTAGTCATTGCCGTTGGCTTGGCTCTGTCCCCATATGCAGACCTATGTTCACATTTTGTCAGCTCCTTTGCTAAAGCAGCTTTAAGCTGCAGCCTTTCCTTACACAGGAGAAAGCCTTTGAAATGACTGTATATTCATCTCACTTTTCCCCTTAAAAGTCTCCTTTTCAGTGGCACTTGGAAATCTTTCTGATGGTTGAGCACTTGCTGTGCTACAACCACTATCCAACATATAGATCTAGCTCGTTCCCTCATGCCCTACCAACTCTATCTGCTCATCTGCTTTCAGCCTGTGTGCTGCCACAAAGATGCTAATCTCTCTGGTGTCTACTCTGTTCCGTAAAACACATTCCTGGTCCACAAGCAGGAAAATTCTGCGAGCAGCACAGTAATTTAGCCACTGAAGAGGGAATTTATATCACCTGTGGCTACTGTCAGATCCATCCACAGAGAGCAGCTAGAGAAAAGCATTTGTAAGAGGATGATCCAAATCATATTCGGACTGAACAGGTGCATGTGTCCGGCTCCAGCAAATGTACTGGGAAACTGATGGACTTGTGCACATAACTTAGAGGCACAATATCAGGTTTACAGGATAAGGAATATTATGCTGGAATTTGAGCTGCAAGGAATTGTGTTTGTCTGACTTAACTGTTTTCTTTAATCTAACTCCCCTCCTTTAGGTTGCATATAGCTACTGCCATTTAAAACACACCCTACATCAAGATTTCACACTGAAACTAAGCTAACACGGGGGAGGGGGGAAAAAGGAAGACAAAAATATGAAATTATTATCACTTCTTCTAGCCCCTTTTCTGCTATGTTCCCTCTTTCATGTCCTACTGGCTTGTTTCAAGTTCTCTTCTTTCTTAAAAAAGAAAACAAAACAAAAGAGGTGCTCTATATTAGTTCTCAGTCTTTTAGCCGATTGTATGTAATTCCCTAAAATGCCTATATGCTACTGTTTTAATGTGGTTTTTTCCTCCTCTCTTTGGACTGAGGTTTAAACAGTATACTATTTTTGAATAAATCTCTAATTTGTTTGCACTATAATTTTAGAAAGCTGGTGTAAATTTTCCTAACCTTAGGTAAGAGTTTTCAATAGATAAAAAAATTAATCAGTAAGTCTCCTTGAAACTGGAGACAATGAAATAACTGTAACTAAGATTTCACAGCTGAAAATTTACTACGGTTCATAAAAACACAGGCATGCATCACATCCCCAGATCTGAAAAAGGCCTGCTGTGTAGAATTAAAGCTTTGAAAATAACAACTGTCTGTTCTCCTCAACAAGGTTTTTTCTGCAGGCAAATTCATACCACCTCTTTGGGCTTCCCTTCATCTCCCTACTACCTTCAAAAATCGTATTTGCTATTAGCTGAGCATTTAGGACATGATTCTGAGAGTTTCCCCATGCCCTCAGCTCTGAGGGCAGTCAGTGGCAACTGAGAGCAGCCATCAGTTTTGAGACCTTTGCCACAGCAAGCTGCTGACTGAAAAAAAAGAAAGTTTTAAACTTTTAAACTTCAAATCTTTAAATAAATAGATCTTAGGTAATGTTTTGTTCCTGGACAACAATAAGAAAATGTCTCTTCTGCCCACCTGTACTAGTTACACAAGATGATTTTTCTTAATATTTTACAGATTTCTGACTGACCCTTTGGCTCTGCATTCCACTCACTGGTCCCCATCCTCTTAAGTGGAAAGAGTGGCAACTTACCAACTTGCAAAGTTCTCACAGTAAGTTTTGTGTGGTGAGGTGTTGAAACATTACACAGGTATTCTCCACTGTTTTTTGTAGTAAGATCATGCAACATCAGTGAAAAGTCATTTTGGTTAATCTCGACTCCAGGCTGGTAAGAGTGATATGTACCATTGAAGGAAGCCAGGACTGAAATCACTGCATTTCTGTTTAATGTCCAGACAATGCTGAAATCTTCAGTGTTTGTAGTGTTATTGCTGTAATCACAAGGAATTGCAGTGCTATTTCCTTCCACGTTAGACAGCTGGTCTGAAACAGATAATTGAATAATTCTCTGTAATTTTTTTTGAAAATACTGTGAAGGTTATTTAGACATTTTCTGATTTTTTTCTGAAGTCTGATACTACTGTGGACAAATATAAAAACATATTTCACTATTTTGATACCATATTCAAACATCACAGTATGCTTCTAGAAGCATCTGAAGACTTCAAATTCAAACCTGTCTTACATTAAAAAAATTTATCTATTTGGTATTAGCTATACTTATAAAAATTATTTTGTTTTCATTTGCCTATTTCTCCTCTAATTGAGGGGTTCATTAACAAAAGTGATTCAGCCTAGTCTCAGTCACCGTGTACAGTAGCATGAAATTCCACATATTGAGAGCAGAGAGAAAACGTCACCAGACACCTGCACATTTAAAGCAGAAGGGTAAAACTGCTACAACATCATTTAATTAAAAGAATGAAAAGATTGTATTTTGTTAGAAATAACTTTCAGCTATAGTGGACTTAAGTACTTTACCTGTCTGCGTGGAACACTTACAATTAATGAATAGCTTTAAAAAAAAAGGAAGGGGAAGGAAAGAGCAGGTAAATAGAGCTAATAGCTACTGTGCAAAATCCTAATATAAGACAAATTAATGTCATAAGGCTACTATCAATCTGACAGCAGGGATTTGCTGCAAAGGAAGGTTGTGGTGGCTGGCAGTCTGCTGGAAAGGAAGCGAATACATGAATACGACATGGTATAATCACGCTTGGTTTCTGTGTGTGGGGCTGCAAACCATGCGGACAAAACAAAAGTGTGCCTCACACTGCTATTATATAAGGAAAAGGAAAGCAGTACATTTTAAAAATGTTCCAGTGAGAGGATAGATGGATGCAGGGAAATTAATACAAAAGTGTAATGAAATGTAACGACTTCTCTTGTGGACCAGAAGGATAGATTAACAAAATACACACTTCTAGTACACTTGTTACCTACTATGATGCCATACTTGAAACCTTCCATATTATAAGATATGGTATGTAAATTAAAAACTGCACTCGTTGTGAGGCATATGCAGTGGTTTAGGAACTGAGAGTGTCTGGGTACACTGTAGGGGGAAATCAGGGCAATGGAAGCAGCCATGCACATCTCACAGGGGAATTGCTCTTGCATTGCTCTTGATCCAGTTAAAAAGTATTTCCTAAGAAACAGCAGAGGTTGAAAAGTATCAGTTATTTACTTGAACTGAATTTCCAGTGAAATTCAGGAGGAGGACAAAATGGAGCACTGAAATTTCATAGCCTCATTTTTCCTTAACTAACAAAATGAGCTGCTGTTTGCTCAAATGCAAACAGTGCTTGCTGCTCTCCACTCCCATGCACCCCCAGCACTCAACCCACGGAACTTAAGAACATGCGTGAAGAGAAGTACAATGAAAGGATCTAACAGTACTGATGAAAGTCTGGCCAAAGATGGGAAATGGACTGAGTAAGGAGCACATGCATCTAGAGCAGCAGGCAAACTTTCACTTCCCTCACATAATCCACAGGTTCACTACGGTTTCCATGTATTTTGTCTGAGTTCATTCTTTTCATGACAGAGTGTAAAGTTTGATTATTAGGCACCTCTTGAAAATACAGAAGAAATGTTCAGAGTAAAGCTATCTTACAGCAGTGTGAGCTACCCGCTCTCATCCCTACTTCTTGGACATATGCTGCCTTGTAATTGCAGCAGATGAGTTTTAGAGAGGAAGGCGCATCCTTCTGCACCATCCATATTCATGATGCCCCACTGCAGAAATACTGTGTTTAATTTGGCTCTGAAACCAGCTGTGACATTCAGTAACGATGCAGGAAGACTTCCATTCATTCCTACCTTGCATCTTCCATTCAGCAGTCCACTCTTCATGAGGGAGATGAATACGACAGTAGTAAGAATCAGCTGTGTTTATAATGTTCTGGTCACTTCTAAGTGAATAGAGAACTCCATCCCTGGTTTCCTCTTGATCTGTTTCTTGGACAGATGTATTTCCTTGCGTCCAAGATATACGTGGTGCTGGATAAGTGAGAAAGGCATAGCACTTCAGCATCCTTCCTGTGTCTGTCTTTTGGTATTCCAGTGCATAATAAGAGGAAACTGTAGATTTAAAAAAAAAAAATTACAAATTCAGTCCTACTACTTTCAAAATCGTTTTTAACTTGAAGTGATTGATCTTCTGAAATAACATTGGGAAGAATAAACATAACAGAGCAAAACTTAATCCATGTTTTGATTTCTAAAGAAAGCATAGCACTACTTGCTGTCAATGCCAGGGTCTGTACTGTTCTGAGAAGCTATATAACGTTTTAAAACTCAAGCACAGTACCCAGCTACCGCTCAGAAATCACCACGTAGTAGCTTATGAGAACAAGTGCTGTCTTGTAATTTTTCAACTCACGTTACAACACTTCACCAGAGAAAATGAATTACTTGATAACACCATCAGGCCCAAAAGGTGCTCTGTTGGGCTGGAGCATTTTGATTCCATGTGAGAAATAACAGGAGAAAATCTGTTGGTGTAATCCCATTTCCACTGGCACAATCCAAGCACTTCTGATGTTTTACTGACCTCTTACACGCAGTGTGACTTCCACATCCGTTGCAGTTTGCTGTGTTCCCACATAGCACTTATAAAGGCCCTCATCAGTCAAAGTCAGGTTACTAAGTTTCAAGGAGGCATTTCCACTAGGAATGTTCTCATGGAAAAGGTGTGTTCTGTCTCTGTAATCTGGGTCTTGTTTTTCCAGATGATCCCTCTGGTAGTAGTAGCTATGCACATTTTTGTCCCCTTTCATCCAGTAAATTACTTCATCATCCCCAGGTGGGAAAGGACAAGGGAGGATGCAATCCTTGGAAAACAGCCCCGTTACTGTTTCCTGTTCTGTAAAACCTAAAGCCCACAAGTACAAAGGAAGAAGTTAAATCTCTTGTCCCTGACAAAAAGAATGCTCTGGCAGGCAGCACATTCCTACTGAGTGTGCCAACGGCTCTTTCACGGCTTTTCTGTAGCATGAGTCTCTGGGACAGCAAAGGTCTTCACTTGGCTTAACCAATATTATACCACAGAGCTCTGGTCTTTTAACTCGTAATCAGTTTAAGGAGATACCCTGAGTAACCACCTACATATTCAAATCAGCACATCACCACCTTAACACCTGAGCTTCAAATGTGTTTCCAAAAGCACCACTTTCAACACCAAAACCTTTTGAGCTGCAGCTTGCTACTCACTCAAACTTTCATAGCACCGTGTTGCAATGACCTAGGTTAGCAAAAACCCTCACAGAGTGCCCAGCAGTTGTACCATCACAGGAAGAAAGGACACGATGGTGTAACCGACAGGAAGCACAGAACTTCTTCAAACAGCTTCACCACCACAGACAGTGTCAGGGACGTAATTAAGGGGTGGATTCCTCAAAATTAATTCACCTAAGTGGTAGCATCTAATTGTTGTTAATATTTAATTTAGGCCTTGCTGGCATAGAAGAACAATTTTAAATAAATCTTATTTAAAACTGACTGCATTAACTTAGCAGTCCATCGTATGGACCTTCTTAGCCAATGCCAGACAACCTGTTAGGCTGGAAGTGAGTGTCCAGCTGCAGATGTCTTCTTGGAAATTTTGATGCCCTCTCCAGCTGCAGGGCAATTTGGATCACTTTTCCTCAGCCTCCTCAGGGCAAAGTCAACCAATGTACTTCAATCCATTTTCAGTACAAACTGACACCTACTGCCTACTGAGCAGTCACACGATGCTCTCCGCCAGCTGAGCTGTGGGGCAGAATCATGGGCAGGTAACAGTTTGGGTGCTCAGTGGCCATGACCACCCACGCAGCCATCTTCCAAACAGTCGTCTTTTGCTTTGGGAGTGTCTTACATCACCCCAAATTGATTCTTTACCATCAATAAACAGTGTTTTAATTAATTATTTCCCCCTATTAAAAAATGAGTAATAATTGTCTTATTATTTTTCATAAACAATAGAGCTAAAACCTACCCCAAAGTGTAGCACCTATGTGAAATAAATAGATGACAAGAGATGGTATTTTCTGCCCCTTCATGTCTTCCTTGGTTCATAGTAGACTCATGTCAAACTGACAACATAAAAGGAGGGGAGAAAAACCTGTTTAAATGCAGGTAAAAGACATATCCTAATTATGTCATTTCCTTTGTACAGCTTATTAACGACTGCAGGTCTTTGTATCATGTTTTTTGTTTGCAACAGTCTTGGCCCAGATTTTTGGCCTTATGGTCATTATGTGATACTATACATTTCATAACGATGGAGGCCCTCTCATTACTATGTAATCCCTTGCAGACTAATACTTGCTGGTTTTTTTTAATAAACAGAAAGTGTTTACCCTCAGTGTTCTTACAGGGGTAGGGACCATTAATCTCCATCATTCATGAACAGGACCCCAAGGAAAATTGGTCAAGTGCTATTTCCAAAAGGGTATCAGATGTCCCTTGTCAAGCCCGATTTTTCTACCCCCTTAAATATACTTGACTACTGCAGCATTTGACTTTCTGAGGTGGGAAATTTGCCTGCATTTGCAAATATTGCAGACATAAAGAACTTTTCACACTTTGCTCTTTGCCAGATCAAAAGGGCTTCAGCTGAACTTCCAAAAATGCATGTATGGAAGTCTAGGGTAGGAATGCAAAGGAGGACGAGGTTCTCTGCAGCGCAGAAATTACCTCATGAATCAAATAGGTTGAAAAGAGTCTAAAGAGCTTTCCCTAACTCCTTTTCGCCTCCCCAAAGGACAGCTATATGTACCATTCCTTACTTACGCTGGGCACAGGTTTAGCCAGGCTTGCTTGCCAGTTCTTTTAATATTAATGAATACTCTTACCTGGTGTCTGTCACTGATATAGGGGCATCAAAATATTAAACCTGAGACAGAGATGATGCAAGAGTAAAACCAACACTTATGATTTGTGTATTTGTTCCATGTTAGCAGCAATTCCCAGTATCTGCATTCTTTTCCTCCTTGCCTTGGCAAGTGTTGTACATTACATTTTATTGCATTATTTACTCATTTGTCCATCACTTCCAACTTGATTAATACAATATATAGTGCTTGACTTTTGAATTTCAGAAACTGCAATCCATGCTGAATTTCCCTTAGTGAGCAATGTGCCACGTTTAATCATAGAATGGTAAGGGTTGGAAGGGACCTTAAAGATCATCTGGTTCCAACCCCCCCCCTCCACGAGCAGGGATATCTTCCACTAGACCAGGTTGCTCAGAGCTCCAACCAACCTGGCCTTGAACACTGCCAGGGAGGGGGCATCTCTCTGGGCAACCTGTTCCAGTGTTTCACCACCTTCATGGTGAAGAATTTCTTCCTAATATGTAGATCTCCCCTCCTTTAGTTTACAGCCATTCCCCCTTGTCCTATCACTACACACCCTTGTGAAAAGCCCCTCTCCATCCTTCCTGTAGGCCCCCTTCAGGTACTGGAAGGCTGCTATAAGGTCATCCCAGAGCCTTCTCTTCTCCAGGCTGAACAGCCCCAACTCCCTCAGCGTTTCCTCATAGGAGAGGTACTCCAGACCTCGGATCATCTTCGTGGCCCTCCTCTGAACCCGCTCCAACACATCCATGTCCTCCTTATGTTGGGGGCCCCAGAGCTGGACACAGGACTCCTGGTGGGGTCTCATAAGAGTGGAGCAAAGGGACAGAATCACCTCCCTTGATCCACCAGTACCCCCAAGTCCTTCTCCTCGGGGCTGCTCTCGAGCCACTCTCTGACCAGCCTGTACTTGTATTTTGCATTGCCCCGAACCATGTGCTGGACCTTGCACTCGGCCTTTTTGAACTTCATGAGGTTCACACAGGCCCACCTCTCCAGCCTGTCAAGGTCCCTCTGAATGGCATCCCTTCCCTCCAGCGTGTCAACCACACCACACAGCTTGGTGTCATCGGAAAACTTGCTGAGGGTGCACTCAGTCTCACTGTCCATGTCACTGACAAAGATATTAAATAGCACCGGCCCCAGTACCGACCCCTGAGGCACACCACTCGTCACTGGTCTCCACCTGGACATCGAGCCATTGACTGTAACTCTTTGAGTGCGTCCATCAAGCCAGTTCCTTATCCAGTGAGTGGTCCGTCTGTCAAATCCATGTGCTTCCAATTTAGAGACAAGGACATCATGCGGGACAGTGTCGACTGCCTTGCATTAACAGACAGTCATGTTTAATGGGCAGTGATGCTCTGAGAGTAACACGGTTCCAACAGTACGTCTGCAATGCCTTTGGTGGCTGCATCAAGGAGTAAGGCCTTGACAGGGCAGGCTGCCTCGCATCTTCTAGCTGTACTCCATAACGGTGTACTGAAATACAGAACTATAACTGGTTACCTGAAAATTTTCATGTTCAGCACAAATCTTAGCTTTGGATCTTCCTATCGTAGTGTGTTAGAAAAATGTTTGTTGGTCTGCAGAAAAATCTGAGGAGTGTAGGCTCTGGCCAGCCTTCTCAGCAGGTCTGGAGTTTTACATGCATAAAATATACGTATCCTAATCGTTAGACATACACTGCAAAGTACTGAATAAACAGACTTTTCCTGTTTGTTGCAGACCTAAATGGCACAACCAAGAAATCATGCCCTAAGGCTTTGTAGTGAAATATCAGTACGAATTTATTTATACAGACAGAGTACAGTTAGAATTAAGATCACTGTAGTCCTGCCAATTACTGATGCTCCAGTTTTCAGGAGATTTATTTCATACAGAACCACCACGGACTCAGCTGGGCAGCAGCTCAGCCAGGGTTTCTGAGAGCAAGGCAAGGCACTAAAATGCATCTTCCAAGACACACTGAACTGCTCAAACAGTGGTGGGGCAGCACTGTACTTGCTTTGGCCACTACAGGAAATGAACATCAAAAGGCACATGCTTTCTTTTTCTTCTGCTAGTCAGTGACCAAACCATGTGTCCTATGACCTGCCTCATCTTTGAGCTCTGCATTCAATCTGAACCCTGATCAGAGCACTGCCCTAGCATACAGGCATCGGGACTGACCTCTGCTCAGTGAACTCTCCTCTGTGCACAACTTTGAGAGCAGCTACGCGTATTGTAATATTCTCCTAACCCTGTCAAACAAAAGTTATTTTTTCCTTAGTAGAAAGGATTCTGATTAACTCCTTTTCAAGGTGGCTTAACAAGAGCACACTTCAAGTGCACACACACACTTATGAGGACTGGAAATGCCCGAGGATTTCAAGTTTCACCAACAAGCAAACAAGAAAAATGAATGCGTAAAGTTCTAAAAACCCCATGTTAATCACATACTGCTAAAACCTACTAGCCACAATGATGCTAGCTTTCCAGAGTTTCCCCACTACATCTTCAGCAAGTAGTTTCTGTAGCAGAAAAGAGAATTAACTCTCCGCCTCCCCCCAGTGAAACCCCTTATGACTTAAATGCTAACTCCATACTTTAGTAGTTGAGAAATACTCCCAAATGAAGAAAGTTCCCACATTCTAAACATCCACAATTGTCTCAGGAAGTAGACCAAAAATACCACGTTTTACTTCAATATACACATACCACATTCCCCACCTCCCCCACCCCGTACACTTCTAACACCACAGAGCTGTTATAAGAACGTCAGTGGTTTTTTACCTCCTCTGATTTCACAAGTAGCCAGAAAAATGAGAGTCTTGTTGTTCAGGTGTTTCTTGCAGGCAGAGTTTATATATATATAAAAAAAATAAAATGAAAATACAGCTCTCCAGAAGCCGTGGAACTTTGCTTCTTCCCTGCTCCTTTCACAGCCACACCTACCC